CGTGATTTATATGACAATGTGGCTAATAATGTAGATACAGCATTATGGTACGAGCGCATCATCATATAAGAAAATCCAACATAATAACCAGTTGTAATATGACAAGTAGGTACTTCATGATACATTTCCTAACAATATGATAATGGATACACATATTTACAGTAAGTGAGATGAGCAAAACGCAAACAAGCAAGCATGTTGGTATTAGGTAAGTAAAGAAAACATACATAATTTCATACATGTAACGTAAGCTATCAACTCGACCCGGAGCACCTGTCTAGGATTACTGTTGGTATCAGGAGCCGGGAATTGGAAGTAAACATTAAAGCCGTGAAAGACACTTGTCGACAGACAGAAAGGAGAGTCTAGGACAGAGTTGGTTGGAGATCCCTGATCGGAAGCATGTTCCAAGAGGGATAACAGGTTTAAGTAAGGTGGGTAATTCCAGATTTCAAGTAATATATCTTTGAGTGGTCTATAATAAATAACAAGCAATAACCAAGTTATATATATATATATATATATATATATATATATATATATATATATATATACGGAAATGTATGGACTAAAGAGTTTAGTGACTTGCTTCAAACTTTTGTTAAATTCTAGTCTTCCCTGCAAACTAAATCAATGTTACATCTATGGTGTACAAATAAATATGCAGTCGATTCAAATGAGACAATGGTAAACTTGAGCAAAGGTTGATATCATCAAATTCGTGTGATACTTTTGATTTGAGAGCTACTTAACACTAACCGAGGGCAGGGTTCAAATATGCGATCTGACGATATAAAGCTAAATGCCTTGGCCATTAAACGTAACTGCAAATAAAGAATTATTACATCGAACAAGTGAGTTTAGTGATGTCAAAATAATTGACGACAAGAGTTTGAATAAGCACAAATAACTCTTAGAAGCCACAAAATTTGAGTTAATAGATGATAAAAATTGACAGAGTGATAGAGATCAAAAGTGTTGGTCGATATACAGATAAGTAAGTAGATAATTTTAGTCAAATATCCAAATCACCAAGTACAGTCAACCGGAAGAAATATTCTTAAGGATTAACTGACAAACAATTGTATCTGATGGAGTAGAAAGTTGTAAGATTTGGAAGGATGTGAAAAAGGGTGGAACGATGAGGACTATCCAACGATAGATTATATTTTTTATCGTAAGTTTACCAGATATTTAGGCTACAGTAATATTTTTATACTGAAATAATTATAAGTAAAGTCACATATCGTTAATTGTTCATAGTTTACAGTTAATTAATAATATACCTATCACTCAGTTTTCTACTACAAATGACTTATTCAGGTAAATATTGTAATTTATTACTTACGATGCATTGTGGTCCTGTAATTGATGTAACTAATCATGAGTTTTTGAGTCACACAGTAATACAATGAGTAGAAAAAAGATAAATTTTGAGAATAATTCGGCTGGCTATTTTCGTGTTCTCACTTGCAATTTAGGATAAAAACTAGAGCTGTGTGGACCAATGGGAATCGAGATATGCAGTCGTTATTGGCGGTGATATTGATTTTATAGGGGTAAAGTGGTGGTTGGGAATATTAGGAGTAAAGCAGATATTCTTATTAATGGACTCAAATCAGTAATTCTATTGATGGGTGCGGATACAGAAGTTGGAATTTATGACAATAGTAATTGAGAAAAAAGAACTTACAAGACGATTGAATTTAATATTTTCCAAAACTTTAATAGCTGTATAATAATCACCTAGTAAACAATGTAATCGACAAAGTCCAATAAGACTGAAGAACCCGAGCATTTTGTAGAGTACGCAACGACCAAAATCATCTGCAATGTCATCCGGGTCGCCTTAAATTTAAAACAAACAACAAAAACAATGTGCAGAAATGATATGTGTTGCTCGGACGCCTGACATTAACTTCTTACAATTGAGCCTTAAATAGTAGAGGAAATGCGTGAAGAATGGAAGCTTTACTTTAAGGTTCACCTATGTAAAGAAAATGAGCATCTTTATAGGTTTACAGGTTGCCTTTACCTCTTATAAGCTTGAAGAAACGCCCTGAATTTTATAGTAAAATAAGCAGTTTTTCAATCAAATTGCAACACACAATCCCTAGTTTTTCTAGATATTTTTTATTTGATACTGATTGGGTGAGATGATTTGCCCCCAAATGCCCTGGTACGGCCGAGAGTGGGGAAAGTCCGCTCTCCCTCTCGAAATGCTCTCACACGGCCACGCGTATATAGCCTCTGCCAGGGAAGTCCTACTCACTGCCTTCTCGTGGCGGGGGTTTTATTTACAAAAATGAGAGGACGAAAAGCGAATGTCCGGCGCTTTAACCGGATCCCAAACTGATGGTGCAAACGGGCTCCAGTATCCTACGGGAACAAATGGCGTATGAACCAATCGTTGGTCACCGGCTACCATGGGACTGCATCTCCTTACGATGCTCCACTGCCTTGTGGGTCAGACCTTTAGGTCAAAGGCTCGGGGAGTGCCCCCTAAGAAAACCACCTGCTTCGGTTTAGGCACCCGGGCAGTATCACAGCCCTCACACATATGGAATAAGATTTGTGTGGCGCACATGTATTTGGCGCCTTCTTGTACCAATATCTATGTGTTATAATAATAAAATAAAATCGAGAAACTCTTGGGGGCTCTCAACAAGAACGTCATACGTGGCGCAATAGTTTTTCATAGGGTTATAGTACATTTTACGGTTAAGCATCAATGACGTAAGTTGTTTACATGTTATAACGTAGGAATATTATATAATAATAAATAATAAAAACTATATTTTAAACAGAAAGTAGCTAGATAAAATACTGAAAGACAAGACTTTAAAATATAAATATGGCTGAAAAAGATAGAACTAGTTGCATTCTAGATTGACTAATAACCACTAACCAACCCACAGAATTAAGATTTAACTATCAATCAAACTTGACTTCTTGTGCATCATATCTATTCAAATGTCAGAGAAAGGGATTTACAGAGTGACTGGATTGTATTCGACAAATACTTTTCCGCTTCTCAATATTGCATCTTGGTGAAGTCTAAACAATTTAGGTTACTAACATATTTTAGCTTCTGATTACGTAGTATATTTAATGGGATTTAACCACCCATTGATATTTCGCTTAGTTTCAAGAGCCTGTTCACTGCAAATAAATACTCGCTTTCAGCAGCGAAATTATGATGATGGAGTCCCTTAGGAATCACAAGAAAAACCCTAAACAATACGAAGTCCACATAAGTTTTACGAAAAAATAAGCGTTTCTGTCTGGTAGAAACGTACAGAAAAATGTAACTAACCTTGCTGAGCATAATAGCTTAGTAGCTCATTGATGTTTGACTTGGCAACTAAAGAGTATAGAACATTCAAAACGCTATGAATGCTCCATATTTTTGGATTCTTTAAAAGTTGAGCTTCATCTTCAGGCTTGAGTTTTAACCGACTGCGGAAACTGCAGAACTTTTGAAACTGGTAAAGAAACTCGTCTATTATATCCCACAACCACTGATTAGGGAGAACCAAATTAACTGGTTGCTCAGCAACTGTAATGAAATATTATAATGTATATTCATATGAACCAAAAAGACAAGCTGAGATTCACCAACTACCGAAAACACATTTGTCGTATACAGAGAAACAAGAACAGTTACGAGTACAAAAGGGGAATATCAGGTCATACGATCTATGCTGCTTTCTTTACACTCCCAATCGTACAAAATCCTACCTATTGATATCAACCATACAAGTAGTCAATCGGGGTTTTTAGTATAAAAACTGACTATTGGTAAGTTGAATAAAACTTGCGTTGCTAGTATGAAAAAACATTGATAGATCAATATCAACGGAACTCCTCCGGAAAACACATATGAGCTAAATGACATTTCTTTGACATACAAAGTAGAGGGTTTTACTGATTACTACTACTCTCGTATAATGGTTTGGTTTGTCTATTACAATTTACTAATAGGGACATCTCACCCAAAAATCTCATTTTTTCAAGTTCCAGTGTGCAATAAATTTGACTCGAGTCGTTACATACAGGAGGCTATTTGCCCATATTAAAGAACTTTCAACTACAGATAGATAAATAATCATTAATACCAAAATAAAACCAATAGGACGAAAACGCTTGATGATTAATTTAATAATCATGGACAGTCAAGAAGTGTGTCACAACACTAGATATCAATGGTTCAAAAAACACAACGATGAAAAGCGTTATCACAATAGCAATAGGAGTATTAAAAGGGTATAGTTTAAAGTACTATGGTACTAAAAGAATGACCTACTCTGGACTTAACTGTATTGACTGCTTGTAATTTGTGTCAACAAATTATCGTATATAATGTTTTTCAAATGTTAAGTCGTATACACGCAGGCAAGTATCTAGTGTATTGAGTGTTCATTCTGATATTTAATGGATTTACCCCACTCACTACTAGTGCCACTCCGTTATATGGAAAACAACCAATATTAGAGGTATATTTAACTAGATAAGGGATACAGTCATTAGCTTTATAATGAACCATGAGGTCACTTTATATCTAGACTTCAAATACTGGTGATTTTTAAGTCATTGCTTCTTAACAGAACGCCAACGCAGTAGTTTTGCTTTTACGTTTGCTGTGCAACTGTACAAACAGGCTACTTCTCTATCATGAAAAGTATGAAGGTCAATGTGACACGAGCAAAGTTTATCTAATTCATCGATATAACTATTTGATATGACAGAAGCATCACTTCCTCGATATAATCATGGTGTTAGCTATCTTTTGGGGAGTGACGGCAGAACACAAATATTTTTTGGGAATTGTAAGCTCTGATGTTGGGTAGGATTAATACGACCTAATGCTAATTAGGGTGAAACTATAATTTTTGGACGACCTTAGAGCGACGCTGAAGTGGTCTTGAGAAAGGACACCTACTGATAAGGAGTAAATGAGGATTATAGAGAAATTGGGTAGGACTCTAATTTATGGACGAGCCAATCAGAAGCGTTTAAGGAATTTCAAGGTCATGGCGCTAAGTTCAGTGCGGGATGCTCACATTCGATCGTTTTACAGCAGATTTTAGAGAATAGGTGATCGTTGAGAGACTACAGCAGATGGGACTATTAGGAAGTTCCTGTGTCTGTGACTGCGGCAATTAAATGACCGCAGCACGATGTGCAGACTGCCGCGATGACATTGTATTTCGTTGTACTATATGTTGTAGAAAAAAGTCTGCTCGAACTGGCACTTTTTTTACCCGGTCACGGCTAAGGCTAAGACAAACCATGATAATCGTTGCAAATTGGATCATAAAGTCTCCAGTAACATTAGCTGCGGCTATACCGATGTTTGGAGAGCGTATAGATGCCTCTCCAGACTTGGTTTTGTGCATCATGTAGTGGTGTATAAACGTCATTTCTTTGATCCAACGACGGGAGGTCCATACAAACAACATTGAGGGCATGTGGTCAAGGCTGAAGTATTCTTTAAAACCCTACCACGGCTTCAGAGGACGATTATAAGTCATATGGACGAGTTCTTATACCGCATGCACTATGATTTCGAAACTTCTGAACCTATATCAAACCTCAACAAGTTCTCAAATAATGTAAAAGAAGAATATCCACTGTAATTCATTACTTTCTCATAATATATTTTTACTTTATACTAACTCTCTTCTGATTGGCTAATGTACTCAAGGTCACTTAAAAATTCGTTCAAAGGTCGTCCATAAATTAGAGTTTCACCAGAAATTGGAGTTCTCATTTACAGTTAATAGTTAGGGCTAAAGACCAGAATTACGGTTTTCATCACGAACTGACGTCAGCTATAATGCCAAAACTCTATTTAGCCGAATGTGTGGACGAATTTCGCGCCAAAATTTGTGACTCGTTATCTTATATCGGAATGGTTCGTCCATAAATCATAGTATCGCCCTAATTTAGTGTTACAGAAGTGTATATCCAACCTAGCATGATTATGTTAAAATCTTGACGGAGCTTAATGTATTTTAGATAACCTCAAGCCACTTTTGCTCTTGACATATAGGCATATGTACAACGCTATGTTCAGTTGTTGACACTGAACCATAACTAGTAATAATTAGTGCAATTTCAAAGTCATTAAATTACTGACGGATGAGATCTCACTTACCTAAAAGTGCATTAAATAAACTAGTATAGTTTAAATATGACTGAATCCTATCTTCAACTGTTAAACCGGTGCTCACGTGAGCGTAAATGTGTCGATAATAGAGTTCGTTATACAGCATGAGAAAAAGTGGGTCTGCAAACGTTGAGTAAGACAAAAAATATTACCGTCAACAATTTGTTTAATGATATCTACGCTTGGCCATCTGGTAGTCATGAAATACTGCTCCGTTAGTTTGGGAAACCTATATTTTATTTATCAATTAATTGTAACTCACTTAACTTGAGTGTCATTTTCAATCTCCACGACATTTTGCTCTTTAATGTGGATATGTAGATTTACGATGAAAGTTCTAACATCTTCACGCAGTGAAGAATATCCTTCTGAAAACTGTTTGCTCATTTTTATGCGTGTTACACCGCAAGCCTTCTATTTCCCGCGAATATCATTCAATACCAAAAGTTCATTTGTCAGCAATTTTCACAGCATTATTGTGAAATCATTCTAAGAAGAGGTCCTACAGCTGGAGAATTTTATGTATAACAAAGACGATATGCAGCAGTTCATAAGGCACACTGGAATGAAATTGAATATTCTGTAAACCCTTATAATTTTGTTCAGCTATTACGCAATTCTTTAATTTATAGTTCTAGACAAGCACTTCTTCGTTTCTTAAAATCCCTATATTAACCTCCAAATGATTAAGCTTTTTTGCGATATTTTCAAAAATTCTGCAAGAATCACAGTACCCATCTACTCTATCTCTGCATTGCATTGAATTACCACATAAAGCTATGCCCGATACTTCTGAAATGACCTCACACCTGTTCAAGGCTAGATCTATGTATTGTTATTATTGTTAGTCTTTCTTGTTCTGATGCTTTCCGTTACCAACGTCAACTGTTTCACAGTGTTGTAGCAGTAAATTATTCCCCAAATTAAATGGTTTTGTAAGTCTTCAACATTTTAACGGTCACATCTAGCTGAAGGTGTTTGGCCACGCATCCACACCAGATCACAAGTGAGCACACCCTACTACGCATCCCTTGCATCAGTTAGCCATCTGAAATCAACTGCTTCACGATAGTCTTCTAAATATATGTTCCGACCACTTCATTTCCGAGTTCTGATTTAAATGAGCTGGCAATCTTCAATTATAGAAATGTTACGTATAGAGGCGTTGTCAAACTCGGAGTACCTGTGACACTGCTTGTGTTATAACTCAATTTCATATATTTGTGGAATTATGGCTTAGCCCGGTTTTAGTCTTACTCTGATACACTAAATCCTAAAATTGTAGGTTTGTCGTGGTATGACCACCTAATCTTTTAGATCTCACGCTGACTCGCCGTATCGTAAGAATCAGCAATTTAACATCTAGTGCTTTTGATGAATATGTTTGCCCTCTAGATAGAATAATATATTTAATGTGATTAACGACAAGCTATGCAGAACGACCATGTCTATGAGGCTGTGCTGTGTTCCCGCGTCCACTATTATAAGTTGGACATAAATCTATCCAGTAATTCTGTGTTTAGCTTCAAAAACCGTGTAGTTAGGAACCAGCGCCACTACATCACTCTCCCAACTTTACGTTGGTTTAATACCAAGTCGGGTGAGATTGTCGCGCTCTGGAGGTTACCAAGAAAAGAGGACATTGGTAGACAGAAAGACAAATCAAAAAGATGTTGGCAGTAACTGATCGGGAAACACATAATATTTCCAAAATGTTTTCTTGCATGCTTAACACGCTTAAAATGAGAATCCACATGAACATTACTTATACGTCGAGTAAAGCAGGATTATAATAATGAAGAATGATTTAGCGGAGATATTTTTAACAAGTCGCATTAAGATGCCTATTGGTATTATCTTTGCTCAAAATTATAAAGTCAGTCAACGTTCATATTAAAATGTAGTTCGAATGAGTTGAATGCTGGTGGACGCTGTATACATATGAGTTGAAGGCATCGAGTTTGAAATTGTAGCGTGGTGTCGAGTTGAGGTTAACTATGAACACCGCTACAAAGAAGCACGTGCCAAATAAATCAGAAGGCGTAGGTTGAACGTAACCAAAGAAACCCATAAAATCTCCGAGAAGCCAAATACCAGAAAGCAGTTAATGGACCAAGTCGAGGTTTATTAGCTGGCGATCTCGTGGCATCGAAAGGATACCGAGATCGTGCCAGGACACAAGCTTGGTTACAGAACGTAACCGAATTCGCGCGAAGTTACAATCAAAAGTGTAAGTATAAGAATGGAAGCACAAAATAGCTGTCATTAGCACAGCCAAACAAAAGCATGTTGAAACAAACACTGGTACAGTTGGTTATAATAATAATTGTTTTTATTAGACCAGTCGTGTTCTCGTGATAAATGTGAGTCACTACAAGATAATATAAAGATCGATTTATGTGAGCTTGAGTGATATAAGATTTTGAACTCGATAAAGCCGTTGTGCCACAAATTTAGGTGACATGGTGTTGTACGGTTAAACAGATATTTACGAGATTACAAACTGTGAATGCTGTTCATGCGATTATCAGGGAGAGCATAAGTTGTAACCAAGAAGAATACAGTTCCAAACCCATGTCTATGATAATGGCATGAACCTTTGTCAGTGTTGCGGTAAATTCGACAGTGTTTTCAGTTTGCAGGAGATTCGCTCAACTGCTTATACTGATGATCTGCGTGCATGATCGTAACGCTAAACCTTCAATTAGATTGAAAAGGTTTAGAGATGTTTTCTAAATGAACAAGTGGTAGAAAAACATGCTGAAACATTCTATAATAGATAGAGACTGTAGAATTATGTTCCACTTTGTTATTATCATTACGATGATGGACCTAACCCTGAAATTATAGATATGTCATGATGTGACTGCCCGATTCATAAGATTTAACGTGGAAGTTACATCATTGTCTATTCTGACTCGTCGTATTGTAACAATCAGCAACATAGTGTCCATAGTTTCTAAAGAATACAACAAAGCTAAAGATGGAATGATATATTCAATGTGAGTAAGGACAAGTTATACAGAATGACTACGTGTGCGAGGCTAATCAATGACATCTGATGGAATGAATGAATGTTTCTGTGTTCTCTGTTATTAACATTTCGTGTCAGTCGTCGAATATAAATCTCTTCAATAATTATATGCTCAGCTTCAAAGGTCGTGTGGTTAGGGTCCGATGCCACTACACGATAACCACGAGAAATCATTATTTAGTAACAACTGTAGGTTGTGGTGGTCCCCAAACAAAAGGAGCTTACACAAAATATATTGATACACTAGGTTAATAGTGGTATACCAAAAAAAATAATAGTAAAGTAACCTAGATCTCTGTCCGTTAGTAAAACCAAAAGTAACAAAATACCGTTAGCAATACAAAAGGTATATTAAACAAACAGACACTGACAGTTACTATAGAATGAATGTTACCTGTGAACTGCCTCGTGAGAGCAACGACCACAAACTGAGTTCACTTGATTGACAGGTGTTCCTCTGCAAGTGACTGCACCAATGACGTAATGAAGAAGACGGAATCCAATAGTACTATGCAATAGTAATCCGCGCCAAAAGTCCAACGTTGAGTCGGAAGGCCTATAATGACGTTATAATACTATTATAGTCTTCAATTAAAACGGTGGCCAATAAAACAGAAGAACAAACGGCGTAGGTAGTGTTCTATATTTTAAACCACGCGGTAGTAGAATCGTATATCATTCATCGAAACAATTATCATCGTCTTTTTAACAAGTGATACAGCAAAACAACAGATATTGAATAAAAATGTGGTTACAAATAAAGTGTGACAAGTTAGAGAAAAAATGTGGTTTCTATTTTTGTTGTTACAAAAAATCACTGAATATATGTCACCATAAGGTTAATTTGTCGACATTGAGTATGTCTTAATACGGTGACTTTGTTGACTTACCGACGCTAAACGCCATTTTTTAAAACAAATGAGTGTAATAATAACTACTATGATGAGTTTAGTTGAAAATGGTAGAAACGGTTCGAATTATTAGTCAATTTAAAAGGCATAAAGATAATATAGTATATGTGTACCCTGTGAGTACTGCCTCGATATCGCCTAATGTCACAAGTACGTCCTGGATTCTACTGCTAACCACCATCCATCTTTGCCTATAATGCTTGTGAATTAAGGCAATATCGACGCATTACTCACAGTTTGCACATATACCAATAAGAGACTGATCAATTGCAGTCCTAATCATCAATTTTAATATTCAAGTAAACAGTACCCAGTGAATCAACAGAAAATGTTTCGAATATTTCATAACAGAAAT